GGCAGACGATTGCTACATCGGGCCGAGCCCGAAACATCGCAGAGGCGAATCTGCCGGAGTTCTGAGCAGCTGTGGCGCCGACGACATGAAGCTGTCCCCAACGTCCCTGGCTCTGAGATTCCAGGCTAGGGAGTTTCCGAGGCGCACAAAGAACATGTATATAGGGCCGATATTGATCATATAACTTCCTACAACTTTAGCAGAAACGACGATATCGTTAAGATCATTGGTACCTTACCACAGATTGCAGCCATGGCAGACTATTCAGTCTTTTCCGAGGCATCTCGAATTCTCAACGATGTTTTGCTTGCCGATCCCGCCCTACATCTCCCAGACTCTTTCAAGAAAGCCGCTACAAAAGTCAAGTTTCTTGGAGATGATGCCAAACCCTTCGTCCTCACGCCCTTGAAAATCACCGAGTCATCCGCTTCTCTAACCGCCCTCTTCGCCACCGCAGCCAATGTTGCTGCGGCAGAGAGATACGGGATAGAGTATCAAGATGTCCAGGTCAACACCGACGCCGCGACGCTTTTTCTGGAATCCGTTCTGCTGCCAACGGTAGGCGGCAAGCAGTTTCTTCAGAACCCGCAGATGGCAGCAGAGATTGCCAAGATGGACATACACCGGTCCTCAAAGCCCATCAGGCGGTACGCAACAAATGTCTACAAAACCAAGGACGGCAGATGGTACCACCTGCACGGGTCGATGAATGCTGGACCGACAATGGAGATGTTGGGTGTCGAAGATGTCGACGTGACCCCCGAAGAAGCCATCAAGATCTATGCCGAGAAGGTCGCACATTGGCATTCCAAAGAAATCGAAGAGGTCGCCAACGAGAAGTACAAACAAGCAGGTGTCGTGTGCTACACGCCGGAAGAATTCTTCTCGAGCGAGCAAGGGAAGATCATGTCCAAGGAACCACTATGGAACATGACCCGAGTGCCCGCTCCGCGGAAAGAGTGGCCGAAAGCGCGAGATGAACAGGGGTTCAAGCCGCTCGCGGACATCAGGATCATTGACTTTTCCCGGGTCATTGCAGCCCCGGCGGTGTCCAAGATGTTGAGCGTCCTCGGAGCCGATGTTCTCCGCGTGTCATGCGATAAGCTGCCCGACTTTGGGGCGACGATGCCGGACTTGCAGACGGGAAAACGGGATACCAACATTGATCTCAAGACGGAAGACGGCAAGAGGACTTTTGCTGAACTGATAAAGGGAGCCGATATTCTAGTGGATGGATATCGCCCAGGTGCTTTAAACAGACTGGGATTCGATACGACCTCCTTACGCGAGTTGAATCCCAGCCTGATCTACATGCGGGAGAACTGTTACGGATTCAAGGGACCACTAGCTCATCGATCTGGATGGCAGCAGATTAGTGACTGCTTGGTTGGTCTTTCGCATCTGCAAGGCGAATTTCTCGGCTTAGATGAGGCTGTTGTCCCGCTTCTGCGTAAGTCATTCGGACTCGCTGGTGCACATAGATATTTGCTAACGAATGTCCAGCCAACTCTGATTACCAGACAGGCTTGGTCGGTGCTACGGCTGCCATCCAGGCCTTGATTGCTCGTACATCAGAGGATGTCACGTTTGATATTGACATCAGCTTAACGCAGTACAACATTTGGTACTACAACCTGGGCCTTTACTCAGAAGAGCAGCAACGAGAGCTCAGAGCCCGGGATCCCGATTTCAGCCCGCGGCATTACGACGATATGGGCACTCTGGTTGGTAAGACGCACCAGTCTTGGAAGAAGATTCGCCCCGACATCTTCACCCATCCCGAATACTTCTGGGACATGAGCGGACGGAACTACGGGCTCGACGAGGACATCAGAGTTCTGGCTCCCGCGTTCAAGTTTGAAACGACTCAAATTGGGTGGGAGGAGCCGACAGGTCGAAGAGGAAGGTCGAAGCCCGAGTGGATTTCATGAATCTTGTTGTGTTTATCTTCGTTCTGAATGGCAAATAGCCAGGGCACACTTTAGCTTATCAGATGAACATCGAAGTATCGTCTCCCAAAAGATGTTCAAATCCCCAAGGGACACCCCAAGAATCGAGGGTGTTCTGATCAAATGGCACAAAGCTAGTTCCGTTGATCCCGTTGCTTGGGTTCAAAGTTGCTTCGTGATGAGTCTCGAGTAGGGGAGAAAGATCTGATAAAGCCACTTGAGAAGAGTCTCGCATGGTGTCCGAAGTGCTCTCTTGGTGGACTTGTTTGCCATGAGCGGCAGTCTGGCCGCGGTCAAAGGTTGTATTTCCTGGTTGCAATGATGTGTTGTTGGACGGACTGGAGGCTCTTAGAGCAGCCCTGTACACATCCTGACACACAGTTCGTACCGGAGTCAAATATGAGCCAGGTTCAGAAAGTTCGAGCAAGGCAAGTCGCTTCAGAGCTCTTGAGACAGAATCGAGATCCTCGGCGACGTTCGGTGCGCGGGGTCGACGCAAAGTATAAAGGGACAAGATGAGGATGGCAGTGACACTGATCGGAATCACGTCCCTAGTAGGAAGAATTAGCAACTGTTTGTAAAGATTGCGACATGGTTTGCATTTTGCAAAATGGGATTACTTACCAAGTCAAGCTTTTCCAGGTATCCGGGACGAGTAAATCCAGCTGGAAAATTGCTCTAGCAGCATCCACAGAGTTCTGAATAGATGTTGTGACCTGGCCTGATAAAACTGTAGATGATCGCTCCGGCGACGCCAAAGACCTCCAGTCATGTTCGCTCTGTGCTCGATGAACCAGAATCACACAATGTCGATAGGTGTAGCTCAAGCGTAGAACAGAAGAGTAGTTGACCAGCTCAGGATAGCCTTCAAGATCCAAAACCGTTGAAAAGTCCGCTCGCCAGCCATCTAAGTCCTGGTTTAGTGTTTGCGTAGCATCTGAAATGACGCCTGAGTTAACCCCCTCTCCAAGATACATCTTGGAATATAGCTTAGCTTGGATGACAGCTAGGCGAGAAGCGGCTATAAAAACATTGACTAGCCCGTTGGAAGGAGCATGGGTGCTGAACTCATGCTGCAACAGTAAATCAGGCAAATCAACCTCAAAGCCACCGAAATCTTGCGCAGGAGGCCGCCCGGTTCGTAGACTCAACTCTCGGTCCAGGGAGAAAGCAAGCCAAAATACATTCGCTCTCGTCGCTTTCTCTATCGGGCTCAGCGACGAGCTGCAATCCTTTCTGTGTAACCCGATGGTGTGTGCAAGTCGAATGGCGTTGGCCACCAACATGAAGCTGGGCTGAGGGTTGGGAGTACCCAGAAAGAACCACGCTAATATCAACAGAGCCTGGACCGACATGACTTGAGTGGCCCTCATGAGTATGTCCAGGACCGTGTCGAGGGCGTTGGCCGCATAGCCCCAGGCTAGTTCCTTGTCGTCAGACATCCCTTGTTCAACGCGTCTCCTTTGAGAAATTGCCAGAACAGCGTTGAATGAGGTCCACCAGGCAGGGCCACCATCAAAATCTCCAGAGTATTGCTGACCAAGCAGTGCGACAAAGGCAGGCGGGTGAAAGAGCGGTAAAGCCATGTATTTTTCCTCGAAGAAGGCCGTAACCAGTGAAAGAGCTTCAGGCCACGACGGCAGATGGCAGTGAGCCCGTTTCTCAAAGACTCTTTGTAATTTGGGATGGGTCCATAAAGACCAAGGCCCTGTTTTTGAGCCCGGCTGGCTATTTGGACGTCGGGCCGATGTTGTTTGCTCGTCGAACGGTGGCGGTTGAGTTCGGAATAATGCGATAGCGGAAGATGGGCCTAGAGTGAATCAGTTTTTGCATTTGGTTCGGAGTAGAGACCTCTCGTACCAAAATATCTCAAGTCTCGTCCTGCACCCATGAGAGAGTCTTGAAGAGATAAATCGTCAATGACAACGAACATTTCCCCTAGTACAACCACTGATCTTTGATTCAAACCAACCTATAGTAGGAGAGGGTCGTGTTCCGCATGAAGGAGGAGTGCTGCCGCTGCTGTGCAGCTCGGACGGGGGTTCTTGAGAAACAGGTACTTGAGAAACGGGTACTTGAGAAACGGGTACTGCCTGTAAACTGTCAAAATTTGAGACGCATACTTCTGCGCGAGTCGAGCCATCATCAGGCGATCCGGACACCGAGGTTCCAGATGTTGCCTGCGCCCTACTGGACCTCGTCCGCCGCCTGAATGGTTTAACAACGTCGGCATAGTTGCACATGAGAGACAGCTCCAGACATCTAGTACACTTGGGCCTACCGCCGTCACACTTGACCTTCTTCATGCGACACAAGTCACAGGCCTATCGAGATCATCAGTAACCAAAAAATGTTGCTAAGGACGTACAAAGGATATTAACCTTGGCGAATCGACGTCGCCTGTCTCCTTTGGTCACACTGTCTGACATATCCGATTGAACGTCTTAGAAGGGATGCATGAAAGCCCCCTTCCGGACTTGAGTTGAGGTAAGTTACCTAAGGTAAGGCACCCAAGGTTGACTTGGATGGAATGAGGAGTTTGATTGGAGGACCATGGCGACCTCCACAGGAACGTGACGGGAGTACCTCGAAAGCGGATTACCTAAGCGTATCCTAGTGCCTTAGGCGAGAAATCCGTTTAGCTGGGGCTGTTTAATTAGACCAATGAAAGCCCACCAAATCGTCCTGTAAATTCAGAAAACGGAAGGCACCACCCACTGTCACCCCGTCTAGGTCTCCACTATCCAGCTGGGTACGGCCCGGTTCGGCTGTCAAAGTGATGGAACTACCGGTCAACAATTAAGACACATAACTGAATTAAGAAGTTGCCAATACTGCATACCTTATCCCACTCTCAGGCTTCCTTTCTACAGATACAGAACTGAAGTAATGCTGATGCCATAAGAGACGTGAGCCTTTCTGCACGACAAGTTTCTTAGGCCCACATCAATCGCCCCCAATCGCCCCCATTCGCATCCATGAGAACCCATCTCCAAACGCCCCCTTCGGTTCCAGCAAAATCCACAAATGCTGACCAGAAACGTGCAAACATTAGTCATGGAGACCGCGAACGCTGCGTAACCAGGCACCGAGAATGACGCGCCGGATTTGAGCTGGGTTGTCGATGACCACTACGCTAACAATCTGGCCCGGTCCTTCTCGAAGCCGCGTGATCTCGTCCTTTGACATGAAGTCTTTCGTGAGACCCTCAAACTCAAACATGATCAAGGATTGATGATCCATGATACCGACGTAGCGAGCTGGGGTCGTGATAGCGTAGGTCGTCGCTTCATGCAGTGTGGTCGTGACATGCGGAGAGTGTGGGCTGGCCAACTGCCGACCCAGCGTAGACTGCTTCTTGTAACGAACATTTGACTGTCGAAGAACCTGGGCCGCGGTGTAGGCGCTTGCGACGGCTTGGTCGTTACCCGAATTCGTCACGATAAAGTTCGAAACCTGATTGCCACGTTCATTGATATCCTTGAAGGCGGCACCCAGTCGATCGTGAGTGATTTGCATTTCCCTCTCAAACTCCTTGGTGAAGACCAAGCCCGGGTCCTTGTATTTCAAGACGAGGTTCGAAGTGATCTTTGCTTTGCCGGGCTCGGGAGGGGTGTAGACACACGCGGCTGTCCAGTTGGGGATGCCTGTGATAGATGTCGGCTCATACGGCTCGGGGTAAGGAATGTCCACCGTATTGGAAGCCTGTGTGGTGCTGCTCATCGTGAGTGTTCCATCTGGGTGGCCCCCAAGAAGCACCAATGCGACCACTCGGTTGATTGAGTCGTTAATGATTCTTGCAACATCCCTTTCGTTGCTGGCAAACAGAATTGAGGGATCTGCTCTGCCAACGTCTTCACCAGCCAATGTCTCAAAGTTGGCGTTGTCCAGAAAGTCATCTGCGACTTTTGTGTAATATTCGGCATCCCGGTGTCTGAGAGCCTGGGGTAGCTCAACCCCATGGCAAGACTCGCTGGCTGCAGGCAAGTCTTTCGGATGGCTGCGAGGTGCGACTGGGACGGTGGGCAACGGCGCGTCGTTACGGATTGCGATGACAATCGGCGGCTTCTGCTGCTTCTCCATTGCATCCGACATCGTGTTTTGGAGAATGCTATGGCTAGCTACTCGATGAAGTCAGTTGCAGAAATAAGCATCGCGGAGTTGAACGTATGACTGACGAGAGGCTTCTGGTGTGTAGGTTTTTCGTACAGCTGATGGACATGGAGGAGATGATCGACAGGCGGGTGATGGCGAGATCCGCAGGACAATCAACGGCCTCAGCGAAGGACGCGTGAATCAAGGCGCGAGGCCAACCAAGGCATGAAGTTTGACAATGGACTACAGCCTGCTTCTCCAATGCTCTTTGTGAGCGTACTGATCTTTTTGCCCTTTAGGTCTTGTACATCACGTGTATTTTAGCAACTCCTCAAGATAATTCAAAAACCCAGTCAGTAAAGTAGTCGAGGTTGTCACTCCATTTCCGACCTCGAACATCCAGATGGACTACTATCCACTCTTGAGTAACACTCAGCGTCATATCTGACCGCCACCCATGGGATTGAAGTGCCGCAATCCACGCATAACTTATGTGGCGGCAATGGTTCACTGGAGTTTACAGAGACTTTTGATGATTATTGCTAACTACACGTATCGACCTTGTAGAAAAGAGTTGATCAAAGATGCCAAAAACTCTAAGTAGAATTCGTCCATCTCTCATGAAGGCATCTCTATCCTGGACTCCTAATACCACTTTGCATTGCCCCCAAGATTCTCTGTGTCCGTGCAAAACAACGTGTATCTTTGTCAATCCATCACCACCCCCACCACCTTTCGATGTTCTTGCCAGCTGTGCTCTCTTCTTACCCTCCCTTCTCAGAAGTAGAGTCTCATTCGTGGAATCCCCAAGTCTTAGTCGATGTTTGAGTCCTCACCTCGTTCCTCACCTGGCTCCTTGCTTGGTTCCTCAGACGGCGTCGGGCGACTGAAGATCATGTTGCGCATATTCGCGCGGTTCCGGAAGATGGTGTTAGGATAGAAGCGACGTTCTTTGGGCCGGCTGGGCTGATTATCGTTCGATTTCTCCTCGAGTGTCAGGCTCTCCAAATCAATGGGGTCCAGATCAGTGAGCCTCGAATCTTGCGACCCAGTGTAGGATTCACGCTCACCGGAGATTCCAGCCAACAATGGAGAGAGTGACACAGGGCGGGAGTCGTTTGCAGAAGGCCTGTCTGCTTCATCTTTGTCGTTTAGGCTGGAAATGTTCTCATCATGATCTTCCTCGGTAGGAATTGTCGCTGAAACATGGGCATTGTCGGAGTCCGCGGACTTTATCGAAAGGTTAGAAGTAGTCGAAGTAGTCGCGACAGTCGGGGCAGCTGTTTCTAAGGGATCGCCGCTCTAAGGCTGTTCCTCGGGCACAACGCTGGGCGACTGTCTCTCAGCCTCGGAGGTGGTGGAGAGTCCCTCGGGCCGATAACTTTGTGGGATGGTTGGGAAAGCCGCATACTTCTCGTTGACATCCAGACGACCGAATGTCAGAACCACCCATTGGTTGAACAATGGCACTTGATCTGCCTTCCCAGGGGGGCTTGCCCAAGCGGTAGGAATCCATCCTGCAAAAAATTGCCATCTAGGCCAGCCGCATCGAAGAATCGGGTGGGGTTTCAGCGGATAGGACTCCCACAACTTAGCTGGCTTTGTCCGCAGGCCGTCGACGAGTGCGCGTCCGTATCCAACTAGAACGGCCCGAGGTTTCTCCAGTAATTCACCCTTGTTTCTCATGGAGATGATCACATTCTCTGGATAGACCTCACAGTGGTCCACCCCGATGTATTCTTGCGAGACTGTGCCACCCAAGAGCTGTTCGATGATCTTCATTCTCTCATCTTGGTTGGTGGTAAATGCCCCGCGTGACTCGGCGTTGTTGTGTAGCTCAACCACCTCAGAATTGGGGCCAGCGAGCGTAAAGAGTTGATCAAGGGAAGTGCCATCGATAAACTCGGTTGCGAGCACCGCAACATCTCGCGTCCGGTCGGCGAACGATGAATTGATAGAGTTGACCGCCGTGATCCATCCTCCATAGAATTGAGGAGCGACATGGGGGAAGCCAGTGAGCCCCTTTTCAAAGAGACGGTGATAGACGCCAAATTCGTCACTGAATGCTGAGTCGGCCTGGATTGTGACTTTGATGAGGCGCTTGGCGATGTCAGTGTCACTGGTCTTGTGCCAGAACAAGGAATCGAACACCTTCAGGAAGAGTAATTGTCCCTCAGACGGGACCTCATGCTCTCGTTCATTTGGCGCGGTCGATGGCGAAGCGACAACCTTGCAAAGGACTTTTTGGGGACCAGGGTGGTATCCAGCATTGCCGCCAATCATCCGAATGATCTCGACCTCAATGGAAGCAACAGGATCATTTTGGTTGCTCTTATCGATGGTCTTGGGCGCATTGTTTGGATCAAAGACCAGTCGTCTCAGCGAGTACTTCTTCTCTTCATCGGAGAGCATCATGTCGTCAGAAGTCAAGCCATCCGGAATTGGGTACAGATGACGGCCGTAGGGAGGAAGCGGTTTGTGTGATCGGAGAAGGAGTCGCCGTCCTGGGGAGTAGATTTCCTTATGGTCGAACAGAATGCCCCCATCTTCGCCGAGGCTTATGGCAGCTGTCTCCTCAGAGGAGGAAGAAGAAGCCATGTCGTCAATTTCGTTCCAAAGACTGGTTCCTGCTACCTTTGGTCAGTCTGATGTTGGCCTGAACTGGTGGATGTAGACTTACCTGTTGTCGCGATGATGAAGCGCACTTCCGCAATAATCCGAAGCCCGCGATGAAAAGTTGGGCAAAGATACAGACGAGAAAATACAAGCGAGGGAAGGGACCTTATTTTAAGGCAAGCTTGGATGAATAAGGGACCTTGAGGTAGATGAAAGTGAGGATTGAAGGCGCCGACGTAGGTAGGCAAGGGCTTGGGATTACCTACCTTGTTCGGTGCCTACAAAGGTGAGGTGGTCAAGGAAGGGTAAGACAGCGGGCCGGAGGCACAAAGGTAGTAAAGGTACCTATCGCCGTCCGCCAGGACTTTCCAAGTGTTTCTGGTTGGACCCACCTCCCTCACAGGAGCAGGTGGCAGGCACCCAGGATTTAGGTGACAAAAAAGGATGGCCTTCAACCCAGGATCATTCCAAAAACCCTCTTATTACAAGGTATCCAATGGATATTCTCCAAGGAATACGTAACAAACAAGAGAGGGGGATAAGAGTAACAAAGATGATAGAATTAGAAAGAAAAACATAGACAATGATAATAATATAAGTTACTAGAGCAATAGAAAGGGGAGGAGGTATAGGAATGGTAGGAATACCTTAATAGAGATAGACTTAGGTTGCTGGCTGGTAAATAATTGTGTCACCTACTGGGTAAGGTGAGGTACGTTACCTTATCACTCCCATCTCCACTATTTATCTGGGCACGCCCTGGCCTCGTCCAGCGGCAATTAAAGACTTGCCGTGATGGCATCAACCTCGTTCAAAAGCCCGTCGCTCACCAGGTGACCAGAAAGTGTCCCTGATCAGCCTGATCAATGGAGCAAAGAAGAAAATACATTAGAAGGTAGGAAGTCTGATAATGGACCATAGACTGCTCTTGCATATCTTCTTGTAGACCAAGTGGCTTTTGCCATTTGAGTCCTGTTGCACTACCAGTTTCGGCTCACTATGAAGAGCACAAAGCAAGCAATGGATGTCGAATGAGAGCCTTGAATACATGTAAGTTGGCGATTGCTCAATGTGGCTCAGCCTCCTGTTGGTTGTCAAGCTGGTAACTACATTCCTGGACTTGATGTTGACCAGCAGACTGCTCTGACCCCCGAGTGTAGGCAGCTGGGCTCAAGAAAAGGCATCAGCCCTGCATAAGGCAGCAAGGGAATATACATGCATCCTTTAAGTGGTAGATAAGGGCCAGCTTCGGACGCGCCTACCTCACCTCAGTGTTTACCACCTACACCTACCTTACCTCTGCACGCGTCTTTCCCTGAGCCAGAGTTGACGGGACTACCTTGCCACATTTGTATTTTCCCGGAAAAACAACGCCAAACCTATTACCCTTCACTATCTCTCAGTCACAGTCGACGACTGTCACTTCCTCAGTCATCCCGTTGGTCTGTCTAGACAACATAGGAATCTCTGCCAAGTAGGATCACATTTTGACTCATCCTACATCAGTACCCTTGGCTAACCCATCAGGCAATTAGATCACCGATACTGGTTTGCAGACACGCCACGATGGATGACCAACAGGTCAAACCTCCAATCATCACAGCTATTCGCAACGACGCCCCTCTTCCGGACATCCCGATCGAAGTGTCCCCCAAGCCGAAAAACCTGCACGATGCAAGTGAGTCGGCCCACCAGGTCGATTTACCAAGAGTCTTGATTCGAACATCTGGCGACTATTACACCAAGGTCGCAGATCGGTTTCTAGATACTGCAGACTTTGGATTGCTTAACGGCGTCGACGTTGGACATCCCGACCCTACTATCCTGTTTCACCGAAACGAATCAGACGTGGCTAGATCGATTGAAGACTCAATCAATCGAGTTGTTGGGCAGGTTCTCCTCGGAGGGCACGCGCCGGGAACTCTGGTGATGGATAGCCTAACGCAAGCTTGGAAGAAGATCAAAAACCAAAACCGCCAGCCATTGGAGCCTACGTCAATCATTCTCATTCCCGATTGGACGGCAAAATGCAGATTGACCGCTCCTGGTAAAGAACCCATCGAATCAGTGCTCGTCGCCGAGTACAAAGACAGGGGCCTGGTTGTTGTGGATGACTTCGAGACAGAACTTGACAAGTCCCCTGTGAGACTGCTGGAGTTGTGGCTTGAGACACAAAACAATGCCGCCGAGATAACGGAGATGCTCGAGACGGCCAACAATGAGGGAATTGTAGCAGACTACATACGCCTCGCAAGTGATGTACGGAGCAACATTGCACCTGAGAGCCGCGAATTTGCGACAACCTTCGGAACCGGCAATCATCCAAAGTCCCCATTCGAAAAGAACGTAGCGACGACGCTCCATCAGATCACCACTTATGCCGTCGGAGAAGACGCTCCCTACGCCATACTCGGAGACTATCAGTCACTGGCAATATTCGAGTTTACCGACATGTTGACCTTCCCAAAGGTGAACGAGATCGACCGGCTTCGTCGGGGTCCGGGCAACAGGATTCGAGTACTGGTGCTCAATAATGAGTCAAGGAAAATACGCCGGAACATGATTGGCGCCTGGCTCAAGGGCATCGGGAGCGAATCGGGTGAAGCATGGATGAAGAGCATCGGAAGTGACTAAGACAAGGGCAACACGTAGGAAATGGAGAAATGAGCTGGTGGTTGAGTTGCTGGTGAAGGGGTGGGGGAGGGGATAGAATGGAAATGTTGGCGTGTAGGATAATTGAACTCCGCCTGGAGTTTTGGTACCTTGGGCGTGTTTTATCGATCATGGAGTTGGTACTTGCAATTGATTTGTTATTGAATAAGATCCTATGAACTCTGTGAAAGCATTGTTGTTGATGAGTACACACGTTAGCAAGATGGTCTTTCAGCCGGCAAGTCACCTCTTGCAGCAACGTGGGGTTCAGCAGTAACAGACCACAAGCAGTTGATAGTCCAGCGGGCATCGGCTTCTGGACACGGGCATACATCTTCAACATGATCGAATTGGATTGCACCTTCAACGGGCCACTATGGTTGCTTTCCTCACTTTTCGCACGGGCTGAGACGCACTGCGGCATGTTACAAGATAACTCAAGGGGTATTATTATCTGCACTATCAAAACTACAAATTCGACGAGATTGGTATTTAGGCGAGAGAAGCGCAGGTGAAAGGGCTGCTGATCTTTCCAGTCTTGAACTTGAGGTCCTATTCGAGACAATTAGCATCGTTACACTTGAGTGGGCGTATACAGGGAAACTCACAATCTCAACAATACTGGCGTAGGTACCGCAAACCAGAACAACAATGCCGATGATGAAGGCAAGACCGTTGAGCGCAGTCTTCATCAGGTTCTCCTTAGCGAACACGGAGCCCTCGCGCATGAGCATGAACCACATCAGAGCAGGGAAGTAAAAGGTGAAGCCGGAGATGAAGAGCGAGGAGCTGATGGACAGAAGCTCGGAGAAGAAGGGGATGGCTTCGGCGATGATGAAAGCGATGATGGTGATGACGGTGATGAGACCGAGCCAAGTGATCCAGCCCATCTTGGTGTTGATGAAGCGGATGATGGAGTCCTTGTAGACACGACCGTGGATGTAGCGGCCGACGACGGTGGTGTTGATGGATCCTGAGATGAAGATAACTGGCAGGGCGACGCCGAACGCAATCTTGGAAATGGTGTTACCGGCGGACAGCAAGGCAGGGGACTTGACATCCTGGCCGACAAAGGCGTAGATGAGGGCGCCAGTGAAGGTGTAGATGAAGATCTCAATCAGACCAAGGGCCCAAATAGACTTCTTGTAGTCGGTCGGGGTGTGCATCTCATCCATGAAGGAGAACTGGCAAATGGCAAAGCTGTAGGCGAAGACAATGTTGGTGATGGCGATGAAGGCCTCGGCGAAGGTGATGCCCTCCTTGGGCCAGGCGGACCAGGGAGCGGTGGTGATCTCACCCCTATTGATACCGGTCGCGATGATGGTAATACCGATGGCGAGAATGATGGAGACGAAATCAATGTATCCCAGGATGGCGACTTCGGCAAAGGAAGGGGGGATGGCAAGAATCAGCAGGATAATGGCGGAGACGACGGCAAAGACAATGGAGCACGCGCCGTCGTTGGTGATGTTGCCAAAAGCGATGGCGCCAGTGAGGGTGTGAGAGCTAACCAGGAACGTCAACTGAAGCGCGAACATGGCACCGATGATTTCGTAACCCCAACGGCCAAACATGAGCTGGCCGGCGTCGGCGTAGTGCGATACGTGAGGGAACTTGATCTTGACCGCACCGACAACGTCACTGGTGTAAATGGCAACAAGACCGAGACCAATGCAAAGGATAACGCCGGCGACCATACCGAGGGAGGCGAAGGCGGCGGGGAGAGACAGACTGCCGAGGGCGATGGCCTCGACGATGAGGACGACGGTGAGACGCTTCCAGCCGAGACGATGGAAGTGGGCGCTTCCCTGGGCGGCCTTTTGCTTCTCGAGATCCTGGCGGTTGAGGTCGGTGACCTCGCCGACTACTTCGCCGGGGAAGACGGCATCGCGGGAGAATTGGGGGGCGACGGCGGCGCCGTCAGAGGACTTGGTGTCCTTGTTCTCGGCGGCATGAGCCTGCTGTTGTCTAATCTGGTCGTGATCCATGATGGGCTTCGTGTGTGTGTGTGCGAAGGTTGGAAAGAGTGGTTTTTTTTGGTCTCTAGTCCAAGTTTTGTGTGTGGCGTGGGGCCCGGGCGGAGGAAGAGGAGGATGGGTGGAAGCTTTGACGGGATGATGTCAAAGGCGAGATGGTTGTCGTTGGAGTTGAGGGTGTTGTATGGGACAAGCACACACGGACGCACAACAGGACGGACCGGGTTGAACAGGTCTGACTTCGGTTGAAGAAAGAGAGAAGAGAGAGAGATGAAGAGTCAAGAGCCGGTTGGACTGAGAGAGAGAGAAACAACAACAAGAAGATGGGAAGACGGAGGCGGGATATATGGTGGCAAAGGGCGGAGCATCAGCACCGACCCCGGAGTCAGGCCGAGGGCTCGACCTCGTCGAGTTGAAAGCAGTTCACCTCGACTGAGGCCCGGAACCTACGATGATTGGACCAGGGTCCTTATCTTTTGGCCCCCCCGCGATCGTGGGCGGTGACACCGGCACCTGGGAAATGGAATGGGATGGGGATGGGGATGGGTAGATGGGTAGATGGCCTTACCACGGTCGAGGGACGAGAGAGTGGGCGAGTGGGCGGCAAGAGTTCGTCAGCCAGATTACCTAGATGGCTGACATACGGATACTCAAGTCCCACGGAAAGCTCTGCTATTCGACGACTCGTACTTTGTACAAAGAATCATTAACCCGGCCCCCTTGCTTTGGGACTGGATTCCGTGCGTTTGTGAAATTGCGGGGGAATAAACCGTTGCAGACTTTCCCCGCGAAATCGACCAGCGTCCCTGAGATTCCAGAATTGACACATTGGTCTTTGCGTGAGGCCGCGTGCTGCTTCCCCGAGTTTCCCAGTGAACAATTGTATTTCTCGTTGTCAAGAAAACTAGGACCGCGTGCCAGCAAGTTGAGGGTTGTTGATGGGGTTGCTCTGTACGCGGTCGTGTAAATGCGGGACTGAGGCAATTGGTAGAGTTTTTGCATCGTAATAGGGTGGATATTGTGACCTATTCTTTACCTAAAGGACCCAGAAGCAGAGCCGCAGAGTGGCCTCATCTCGCCCCCCTTGAGTCAGTCCATGTTGCTGTTCCCACGGGCGACCCCGAAATACGACCGGTGGCGCGCTGGGAAGAGGCCTGGATTGACTGGGATTTGAAGAGAGATAGTCTGAGCTCCTTTCAAGAAGGGAAACGAACGAAAGAGAAAACTTTGCCTTATCTAGAGTTGCTGAAACTCGAGCGAGGAAAAGAGCGTCATAGGTGACCTTGGACATTGGACGTTGGGCCAAGAGCATGAGGCTCAAATTTTTTCAGACGAAAACGAACAAGAGCCAAAGCCAAGAGTGACGATTGCCGAACAAGGGGGGGGGGGCCTGAGCCCGTCCGTGGGAAAAGGCTCCCATAGGTTCTCTGTCTCTCGGATCTCTCCCACCCTTCCACCACTTCTACCCGTCCCCCTCCTCCCCTTCGAGTTGCCTTCCCGCGCTGCCGTAGGCGATTTCTGCAAGTCTTGGGATTGTCTTGAGTGTCTTGCCTCGATGCGCTAAACCAGTCGTGGGCTGCAAGGCCGCTTACCCGCAGAGGGCCGCAAAGTTAGACGTAATAGCGCCGCCGCGGTCCCGTACATTCCCGACATCCTTGAGTCGTGGATCCATGCCGATCCCACCTTGCCCACTCACACCTGTCACGCATTGGGAAGGCTTCTAGAAGATCGACTGGAAGGCCCCAAAAGGCTTGTCGACGCCTCCTACGCACTTCCCTGCAGATGTGGCCACACAAAGCGCACAAAGGGCTGATCCCCCCTGCATATGCCCGTCTTCCCACCTCGTCTAGGGCCGCCTGTTGAGCGAGGCGAGCAAGGCGAGATCTCACGCGACGCGGGTTTCTGGAGCAAGTATCCATGCCGGACAGACTTCTCTCGTGCGTGAACGGAACCCATACGGACCCTGTTTTTTTCTGTGTCTTCTTTTCTGTGCCAATTCTTTAGGCGAACTCTGACTGGCCAGAGAGGCCTTCTGCTCAATAATTTGACATACAATCATTACCAACCGCAGAGATAACAGTTTCGGAGGCTGGTATGGTTTTGGTGGGTGATGGGAATGGAGGTTGCATTTACGCCGAGTTCTTGACCGACATTAACACAATACATTCGTGGCAAAGCGAAACTGGTTTGATGGACATTAGACGGCAAAAAAGAGTGATGAGCAAAACGCAACACGTCGATGAACAAGGCTAAACAAGGCAAACAAGGCCATGGATAACGAATATGCATCAGCAGGTTGTATTGGCGCCTAGTTGAGGGTGATGAACTAGCTGATCTACCGCGTTTGGCGGATCCGAAGGTTCAAACTTGCGTCAAACGACTCGGCCGTCGTGCCGCGAGAACCGAGCTACACAGTTTTGGCGTGCGAGATCTTCGTACGAAGGAGCAACTGGAAGCGGTTTGCGACGGGCTTTTGCTCGCTCCTCGTTACCGGGGGGCGGCCAGCATGAGCAGGGTAGGGTGAGGGACATGGACTGAACGAAGCTGTTGGCAATTCCGATTGTGTCATTGAATCCGGGGTAGAACTGCGGGGATGGAGCCGGCTTGCGTTTGTAATTTGTTAAAGGGCGCGCGCTGTTGGTGTGGTGGTCACCCTCGAAATTATCGTGGCACTCTGCTCTGAGCCGGTCTGGTCGTTCCTGGAGATGACATTCCTCCAAACCTGAGTCGTGCCATTCTTTTTCGCCATGCTGCCATATTATCATGATGTTCCTAGTCCATGGTCCCTTTCGGTTTCAGCCGGACGAACGCATCAACGGCCGAGATTGCTGCAACTCGGACCATCCCAGCCGCTGACCACTCCGAGAAGCGGACGATATCGCAAGCTGGAGTCCCCGATCCATGCATCCCTCACGCAGGTGAACGCTCCGGCCACACAGGGGGAACCCGCGAGCAGCAACTGGGCCAATCCCGTGTCCGTTATTTGACGTTGTGGGAACTCCAAGT